CACGTATGTTTATATCTCACGCCCGCGTGCCGTATTCATGTCTGTTTATATTTTACGCCAGCGTAACGTATTCACGTTTGTTCATATCTTAGGCCAGCGTAACGTATTCACGTTTGTTTGTGTCTAACGCCCGCGTAACTTATTCATGTCTGTTTATATCTTACGCCAGCGTAACGTATTCACGTTTGTTCATATCTGACGCCAGCGTAACGTATTCACGTTTGTTCATATCTGACGCCAGCGTAACGTATTCACGTTTGTTTTTATCTTACGCCGGCGTAACGTATTCACGTATGTGTATATCTCACGCAGGCGTAACGTATTCACGTCTGTTTGCGTCTTGCGCCGGCGTAACGTATTCACGTATGTTTATATCTCACGCCGGCGTAACGTATTCACGCATGTTTATATCTCACGCCGGCGTAACGTATTCACGTCTGTTTGCGTCTTGCGCCGGCGTAACGTATTCACGTATGTTTACACCTTACGTCGGCGTAACGTATGCACGTCTATTTATATCTTACGCCGGCGTGACGTGTTCACGTCTGTTTATATCTTACGCCGGCGTAACGTATTCATGTCTGTTTATATCTTACGCCGGCGTAACGTATTCACATAAGTTTATATCTTACACCGGCGTAACGTATTCACGTCTGTTTATATATTACGCCGGCGTAACGTATTCACGCCTGTTTGTATCTTACGCCGGCGTAACGTATTCACGTATGTTTGTGTCTTACGCCGGCGTAACGTATTCACGTCTGTTTGTGTCTTACGCCGGCGTAACGTATTCACGTCTGTTTGTGTCTTACGCCGGCGTAACGTATTAATGTATGTTTATACCTTACACCGGCGTAACGTATTCACGTCTGTTTGTGTCTTACGTCGGCGTAACGCATTCACGTCTGTTTGTGTCTTACGCCGGCGTAACGTATTCACGTATGTTTATATCCTACACAGGCATATGTGAACACGTTATCTGTTGCACGGATTAACTCAGATCAGTATCACATGCCCGATGTATACCATACATTTGTAACTTTCTTCTTTTTTTAGCTTCATTATTTTTACGTTTTTGTGCTGTAAATTATGTACTAGTTTCGCATGCCGTTCTTGTGAAACTTCATGTTAAAAATCCCCGAGCTTAACGTTACCGGCTTGTGTACACTTCATTACACCCGGAGTTAAGAATCCTTTTAAATCCAGATTCACATCTATCCTAAAATCCAATCGTTCGGATTTGTATTGAAGCATTTTTGTTTCCATGGCAACGAGATTCAGATCTCAACCAACCTCTTACTCAACGGTATCCGTCCTGAAAATGTCAGGATAATCTACAACATTTTAAGTTATAAATATTTAAACAGCTCCAAAATTATTATTTTTTTTTCAACCAGAAATATAATAGATTGGTAATAGTTTCCAAGAGAAACATATTGCTGAACATTTCCATGACAACCCATCCTAAAAATTATTGAGTTTTCCTACTAACATACAAACAACAAACCAACGCTATCGAAAGCATAACCCTCCTTAACATAGGGAAATATAGACGACGTTTTCGCTGAAATGTAATTTCCACTGGTAGGGATTCATCTAACGTAATTACTCTTTCAAAACTTACATTGCTATAGGGTATATTTTCATCCCAGATGAGTACATTTAACATTATTTAAATGCATCAGTGATGTCCGTATTGAAACAATGACCGTACATTTACGAAATATATCATGGCAACAAGTAATAGGGAATAAACAAACGTTTGCAAAGTGTGCGTCTCTCCTTTAGTCTTTGCAAAATCACCCTTCTTTAGGACGGCACTCAATCAGTAGTGATTTACCCTTACCTCGCCATCTGCATACTAATGTGATGCCGCCGTCTTGTCTTGGGTCTTACTTGCAAGCCACGATCAATAGTAATTTGCCAGTTCGTCGCCTTAATATTAAACTAATTTGGTCCCATGAAGAATATATATATATATATATACACGTGATAGAATAAGACATAGGTAAGGTTGACTAAATGCAGCACATTTGTCAACGTCTTCCCATCAACACCGGGTTGGTCGTATTGGCATACATATATCCACTTAGTGAATTGAAGTATGCAACTAGATTGTGACCTGTATCTTTTTTGTCACGAACTAAAACCGCGTGAACAGTGGTAAATATCAAAGCAATATTGCAAAGTAACTTATTGAGTATGCAAATAATTTCTCCTTGTTCGCATCACTGATACACATTATATGTCCATTATATACCGTGTACGGCTTTATTTAAGTCAAGTTTGAACTTCGGTATGCAAATTAGTAGTACGTTCAGAATTCTGCGATGCGCGACAATATTTTCCACTTAACTGTAATTTCGGTTCGCAACTATTAATCAGCGGGTAAATTATATGTATGATTCCGGTTAATTATCTATCATACCATATTTTAATTAATTTCCCAGTGACATTTCTATTTACAAATTATTTCCACATTTTATGGATTAAAATAAATGTTCATTATACTGAATTTATTATCTTTATACAGGTCGCGTTGTTTCAAACGAACCAACGGCAGCAACAACAGACCAACTGATTTTCTCGTCACCGTCAGCATCAGCACTCAATCACCAATTATCTACAGTAACAGACAGCGTCGCATTGTCTTCATCAATCGCGACAGTACAACGGGACTTTCCGGTTAGTGCGACGATCATGTTGACAGCAATTACGACGACTGTTGAACAAACAACTCAGTCGGACTTTCAATTCAATCCTACGTCATCGGAAGTAACAGTCCAATCAACACATGACGCAATTCGTACAACGACTGGAAACGGTAGGACGGATACAACTGCTATTACAGAAGCGTCGACAGCGGAAGGTAGTTCTAATTTCCTATCTCGTAATTCAGGGATGCAATTCAGTTGGGGGGTTTATCATGCACAGCATATCCTGCTGTAATTTGTAAAACTGCAAAACACAATATCGTAAATGTGTTTTGAAATACTTTATGGGATAACAATGAAAAGTCGCGTGCATTAAAACTATTAAAGTCTTCGTTTATGCTTCCCCACAATAATTCTTGACGCGTAAATATGTGAACTAGCTATAGGTCAATAGAGGACTAAATGTGATAAGGGATGAATTCAACAATATAAAAAAGGGGGTCCTGAATTATCCGTACATTCATAGAAATGCAGAACAACATAATCTTTGAAATATACAGTACCAGTTGGACCATTTAACTTCCGGTTTCATTGTGCGTCCTGCGAGATTTGTTTAATTATTTGTTTAAATATTTAGCAATACTTAGTTAGCGTCTTCTTAGTACTTCATTGTAAATACTGTTTGTTTTCTTTCCGAGTTTTCATTACATATAATTACTATGCTGTAACATATTTTGTATTCTGAATATAGCTCATCCATGGGACGGATATCCTTTACCGGATTTCACCAATATTAAAATTGTCGTCGGGCTTGCTATTGGAGGAACGCCGTGCGTGACATTGCTTGTGTTCGCCATTCTTCGCTGTCGAGCTGTGTATATTTCAAAACACAAATACAACAGCATAAATAAAGGAAACTTGGGGTAAGCACTGCTGTTTAATTTTAAATTATTTATATTTATCAGTACGATAGGGCAAAACAGGCCTCCAATCGACATTTTTTTCACATGTTTGTTATTTCTTTTTGTCAGTTTGAGTATCTTTTGTTTTTCTTTGTCAGATGGGGTATTTTGATGTAATGGATTCATCTGGGAATGATGACACAAACAAAGTTGTATTTCTATTATTGGTGAAGTAGACAATAACTTGCAGTAATTTGTATTTCATAATAGCGTTATCACTGGATTTATTTTCTAGTTTGTCAACTGTCTCTCTTGCTGCATCCGCCTCTTCTTATGAAACACGTGGTAATGTGAATCCTGCTATGTCCAGTAACACACTCTCACTTCCATCGTCAACGTCACATCCCTCTTCGTCTATGAGCGACGTGAATGCTAGTACAGAACAGGTGAGGTTATTTTAATCATTACTGAATCATCCACGTTGATTCATAATTATAATGATGATGAATAAAGTCTCACAAATCATTAAATATAACATTTTATGTATTCATATTCAATATCCACATTACACAAGTACTCAATAGTAATACAAATATAAAAAATAAAAAACACTTGGATATCAGATTTTGAACTGCATCCCTCTCAATTTAATAATATTCAGTTAAATATATATTATATTTAAGTTAACCCATAATATCAGATTTATTTAACTCGTGTAGTAAATTTCATTTGTTCTGAGCCTTTACTCAATCTGATATTGAATGGCTCATGAATATTCTAATTATCTCATGTATAATTTATTCACAGCTTTCAGTATGACTAAAACCATCGCCATTATAATAATTTGTGAGCGCTGTTCGAAACATCGTAGAACGTCCCGGTCATTTCTATACGGAAATCGATTACCATTAGTTTACCATATTATGATGAAAAATATAGTTATTTTCAGAGAAAATCACTATATTAACAATATATTAAACTTTGGAACCAATTCACAGTACGGGGAAAATCGTAATCATACATATGTGAAGACATATGAGGTTGAGGGAAATAAAAATGACGTCACAAACATATGCGTCTTTACATAACACGCGTATAATTCATAGTAATTAGTCAACAGCTTGGTATACTGGAATATAATAGGTGACCAATAAACAACTGCTTTATTACACTGAACTGCCATGATATCAGTATATGGAACAAATTCAGTTACTTGACTGGAAGGAAATATAACGTGTGTTCAGGATTATACACATGAAATTTGTATGTGAGGATATCATACTAGTCAAAAAACGTTAGGGTGTTTTTTTTAATGAATACATTTTTGTTTGGTGTTAGAAAAATAATAAGAGTAGAATAGTAACATAGGTTACATATTTTTACTTATCTTCAAATAGGTACATGAAGTCTGAACGCTGTGTGGTATGAAAAATAAGAAATAGTTTACGGCAAAAATGAAATATTATACTCGTGGATGCTACAGGAAATTAAAATGCTTGTTCAGTTAAAATAAAGTAAAAAAAATGTATGATATAACTCCGTAATATAAATTTATCGATTGCTACAACAATATGGTTTATGACTAAAATCAAAGCACGCATATGTTATTTGGGCAAGACGTGGTCATGATAAACTAAATGTCGTCCGTGTTTGTTGAAGGTTAAATAATTGGTTGTGGTATGCAAAATGCAGTACTACTCGAACCTCCTGAGGGGACCTATTTGGAGTGATGACTTTGTCTGTATGGGTGAATCTATTTTGTTGCATTGATATTTAGAATCCCACACACTCGGTAAATAACATGTCTAATTTTGTCGTATTTCATATTTTGCAGATAGACATACATGTAAAAACATAGAAGCCGTCAATTGCGTCGAATGATTCTGTCATAGACGCCCACGATGCTGTTCTAAATACATGGGACGGAAAGAAGATCGTCTTTTATAACTGAAGCGGATTCGGTTGATTATATCAAACATTTTCTAAATGTATATATATAAACCGACATGCACGATTTTCTAGCAGAGCATGTCTGAACTGATTAAAACTGAACACGGGTTTACCCACCCGTCTGTGGGGCAATGTTTTCCGCATTGAAGCTCATGCCTGATATTTAAGACTCATAGTGCCATGGGTTATATTGCTTGAACAGCATGTGTATGCATTTACTTATATGCGGGGGTCACCTAACTCTGCGTTGTTTGTACCCGCGTAAATGCCACTACGGCGTACTCCTTGCTAGGCGTTACGTAATCAGTATCCTCTAAGGAAGCAAACCAGACGAGTAATTCAAAATGTATCAACATAGGTGCAAGCCTAGCTGCAATTTTTGTCATTTATAATAAGATTAAGTAACAAGATATATTCTTTATATCGATTTTTAATTATTATAACGATCGTTCATATGTGTTATAGCACTAAGTTTAGAAAGCAAGTGTGATGTGTATTATCGTGTTAAACCGCTTGTCAAACTTTGACCAAGTGCCTCCATTACGAATTATAGAACCAACCATTAACATAGATTGGTTCGAGATACAAAGTCATTCCTCAGTAAATCTTAATGAATCCTCAAGTTTCCATTAGTTAGCTTATTAAACATTTATAGAGATGTTTTATTTGGCACGTACTTGTACTTATACGTCATACTTTGTAAATTGTACATTAATAGACCATTTTCCGTACACTGTGAGAATCACGCGTTATGCGTGAAATCGAACGTAAAAACAGGACAAACAAAGGTCATAGCGTCGTAGTCGCGTCAAACATCGCGTGGGATTCGACAAACGCAAAAATATTTCGGGGACATTTCCATGCTTAATAATGTGCTGTCCACATTTGATGATAGGCAATTTCGATTAAGTAAGGGTATTCGGAAGCAATATTCATCTGTCGAAGATGGGCCGGTCTATTAAGCTGCGAAATAAAGAAATTCTAGTTCAAAATCAAATCGTTTGATTTTTGCGGCAGACGTTCGACGCGCGTCTTTCATGCATCTCGCGAGATCTCGCAATTGTTCGGAAAATCACCTATTGACTAGATGTAATGTGTTACAGTAGAAGTAAATAGCCTGAATTAAATAATACATGTCGCTTTGAAGACGAGACATACACTTAAGGTAGAGATGCAGGTTTGTGGGCACTTGGGAGTGATTTTAAAATATAGATAACAGGTACAAACATTTTTGAATGCTTAGCAAGATTTAGAAAGGCTGTACATAAATAATAAAAAAGAAACATGGTGAAAAAAAGAAATGACGGGATCTCCATATTATGCACTATATTTAACTTTTAACAAAACGATAATACATTTAAATTTGGAACTGTTACAGCCATTTTAATTATGAGCATTAGCAAACTTCTTACTGAGTGAATTGTTATGCAAATTAGCAATTATCTCAGCTTCTTTTTAGTGCCCATCCCAGAAAAAATAGCTCCTAGACGCTTTGACTTTTTGTTTTGAAATTTTCACAAATGATTGACAATGTGTTTATCTTCAAAACGCCGTCGGGGATTGTTTTTGGTTGAACAGTATTACAACAATCGTACAGACAACTAGCCTGGGTGTTAATTTATGCATAAACTTGAAGTAGTGAAATTTGTACCCTGCAAAATTGACAACTGGTAGACAGTTTTCAAGACGGCACTTTCTTCATAGTAAACAGATGTACCTATAGCTACAAACCAATTTTGACATGAAACAGCAGCATGGTTTAGGAGCTATTTTTTTTTAAATCACTTTTGACCAAAAAAGCACATTTTTGTGCATATTTCAAACTACAGTTTCCATAAAAAAAATACATTTTTTTTTTAATTCATACAATAAGTTTTCCGAAAATATATAGTTTTGTGGACAAGGGAGGTCATCTTGGTTTCCTAATTAACTAATTGAAATACCTGTCAGGTAAACTGCATCTCTACCTTAACCAAAATACCGACACAACATAATATACTTCATTTGAAATCCAAACGCCATGTGTAAGACCCGCCTTTCAAAAATCTTAACCACATGAAGACTGATTGAAAATAATTTATCAGCCAACCGAATATCATTAAACCAACTAACATATTTTTAATGATCTGATTAACTTTCACGTTCTTGTTCTACGATGTGTGTGAATGTTCCTATCAAAAGCAATATTATAATGTTGTCGTTTTTTTGTTGTTTTTTTGAGCTTTTATGAAATCAGCCTGAAATGTACTGTTTTGTTAAAGAAAACAACAATGTTAATTTATTGTACGCTAAGTGGCCATTTGTGGGTGTATAGTGCGCGTGATATGTCCGAGTACGTCACGTACTACACGTGTGTAGGCTCGTTCGATGCTGGTCGTTGGCACACGAGGTCACATAATCATGCATACGAATGAGCCTAACGGATTTCAGTGGTTATTGCACGACGTGCTGTGAACGAGGCTGGGTTTGAAGTTTGAACTGGAACAAAATTACCACGTGACAAGACAATGTTCTATTATGTATCAATCGTGGTCGCTAGATTACTCAGTGTGAAGAACTTTCTAACCATTTGTATTTTAATTTAAACTGGATTTTACACGTTACCTATTTTCGCAAATAAAAACCTTATACCTCTATCGGGTGTGTCTAAATTGTCTTCAAGTTTGAATCCTTAAATACCAGATTAACCGTGTATTAGTGTACTGCAGATAATGCTACAGTCTACATTTAGAGTTGCGTATGACGTCATTTGTGAATTCAATATTTAATGCATTCAATCATTCGCCGACCTCCGTATTGTATTTCAGCGACAATCTGTTTTATTGAATTTCAATCTATGTGGATTACACGAAATCCTCGTTCCATTGACGACCTGATGTGTTCATTTAATATCCGAAATAATTCCCACATAGTGAGTGTGTGTGGATTATCACATTATCTATAGTGGCAATAAGAATAGACATACGATGCCCATCAAATGTACGTGCTAAATAATACAGCGGGTGTTTTTTATCGTATTTGAGATTTCATTTAATCGGAAGACACAATGTGCCACGGAATAGTCTCCATTACCAGAAAAAAAAGAAGGCGAATGAAATTTCAACTTTTTGATCGGATTAGATTTAAAGCGGAAGGGTAGTCACCTGCGCACGCGCGGGAATCGAGTCCCAAGCGACACACGCTAAGAACGCAAAGGCTTGCGGGTAGACGCTTGTTTGTAAAAAGTGACACGCTATGGCCATCTGACGCATGCGTAGGTGACGACTCTCCCGCTTTAACCAAGTGTAACCCGAAGATGACAGTAATGATACCTTTTTTTTTTCTAAATCACTTTCGAGAATATAAACATTTGAGTAAACGTGGATGTTTAGGCGTGTTTTCAACATATAGGGTGTCAATGTCCAACCGTGGGATTACAGTTATATCCATGGACTAGAGGGGAATACCATGCAACTCATATCAACATTCCATGACTATCTTAGACCCGATATTTAGTGGTCAGTCTCTTATGCTAAGTTGAAAGTCACCTTAGCACATACAATTTAGCAATGCTACGACTCACACTCTCTACTACCTATGTAATTAATGATACAATTACGATTTCGTCACTATTTTTGAAAATATGATTGGCGCGAACAATTTTAAAAAGTTCTCCCCCTAACTTCAACCTGGCACATCAACAAAGATTACATGAATCGAAAACCCGATAAGAATTTCAGTTGGTTTAATAATCAGCATTTGAACAGTTTTGAACAAAAATGTATTTGACAAATTGTGATCTCGGGTCGCCTTCCTATATTCATATTATAGTTCACGATATGTTCGTAATTATTTGTATCACCTTGAACCTACAAGGTTTCAATTTGACA